GGTCCCACGGCCATGGCCCCAAGTTGGCAGGCAGCCTGACACTCCAGAAGCAGGAGCTGAGCCCACCTGAGGGCCGGGTGAGAGGACTCACTGTGCACAGGACACCCAGAGCGGTGCACTGACCACCCACCTGACTCGTCCACAGGGGTCGGGGGACAGCAGTGCAGACAGCTCTGCAGAGGAAGCCCCAGGCCTCACCCCGCTCTCCCGCAGCCAAGGCCACCATCCCTCCATCAGCCTTCAGATAGGTATGGCAGCTGCAGGGGCTGACCTGGCTGGCTGGGGGCCCCCAGAGCTCCCTACTGCCCCCTCCCCAACCCCAAAGCAGCGTGAGCCATGTCACTAGGACAGTGTCCTCTCCAGATGGCTGTTGGGCCTGGTTTCTTCTTCCTGCACTGGACACCACCTCCATTGAGAACCACTGGTGGTTTCTGGTCTGCAGGGAACCCCCTTGTTCCCACTGACAAAGCCAACAGCTCCCCAGGACTCCAGCAGTCACAGCCATGGGGAAGGAAGGAGCATGTGGGGACACGGCTGGGCTCCTGGAACCAGTGGGAGGAGCCCTGAGCGGGGACCCCAACCTGGAGTGGACCCTGCAGGAACCATGTCTCCTGTCGCCCACGGGTGCAGGATGGGCACTTCTGCACACTAGTGACAGCCATTCCGTGCCAGCCACCAGGACAGCTGGGACAGGCAACTTCCCTCCAGGAGGCTGACTGTAAGTTCCCTCTAGAGGATGCAGAGCTGTGTGCCAACAGCAGCTGCTCTAGGCCAAAGGCAGGGTCATGCGATCAGGGTCAGAGAGCAAAGGACATCTGGAGGTAAAGGAGACATGCTCTCCACAGCAGAGGCTCTCTCTTTCTGCCCAGCCTCCCTTGAATAGGGGCAAAGGGGTGTAGGGGCTGTAATCCAGCCCTAGCCAGAGAGATGTACCTGGACATTGCTGGGTGGGTCTCTGAGGAAAGCCTTTGAAAACAGCAGGGTAGGCCCCTATTCTTCTTGCCTTTTGTCCTCTGTCTTTCCCCATTTTCCTGCCTGGAATGTCAATGTGATGGCTGGGGCACTAGCAGCTGTTTTAGTGAAAGATAGTGGAGTCTTGGGTGGCTGATGGCATCCTGGACACTCAGACTGCCTGCTTCTGGACTGTCCTTGTGAGAGAGACAACCCCATACCATTTTAAACATAATCAACCACCAAGACTTGGGTTTTGTGTCATTAGCAGCTTGTAGTAAAAACTAGCAGATGAACAACAGCCCCCTCTCCTCCTCTTGACCCCCAGCTAGACGATGCACAGTAATCCTGGGTCTGCCCCTACCCACCCTCTGGTGTACCACCCAGCCTGCTGCCTCCAGACTACACCCGGCAGACGCAGGGCTGGGAGGGGCCCCCATAAATACGGCCTCTACACCACCCTGGCATGGAGCTGGCACCCTCCTTGCTCACACTTGCTGTGGTCCCCACCTTCCCATGTGGACTCCCCTCCTTCTCCGTGTTCCCACCCCTTCTGAAGGCATCCCCTGGCCCGGAGACCTCCTGTGCACCCTAGGCAGCCTGGCCGAGCTTCCAGGGAACAGCTGTACCTGCCCCTGCCAACTGAGCTTCCGGTGGGGAGGGTCTCTGTGCAGCAGAGTGGGGCACAGGGCCTGAGGATTAGGGTAGAAATACTGGGAGGAATGAATGAGGGAGCTGGAGGTGGCCCGTCAGGTGGCAAGCCCAAGAGCACAGGGCACATCAATCTGGGGGACAGGGGCTTGGATTGGCGACTGGGCCAGGTTCCATCAACCTGGGTGGGGGCATGCGTTCCCCCAGGAGCCCTGCAGCCAGGGGGCTGACCAGGGCTGGCTCTCTAATTACACACTGTCGTGTAATTAGAATCTGCTCCCAGCCTAGGGGCCACCTGAGGTGGGAATAATTACGACTGTGCTAGAAACCCTGATGCCAAAGTGGGAGAAGGGCACTGGCTGCTCGGCGAGGAGCAGAGGGGCCTGGCCCAGCCCTGTGGCTTGCCTGGTGCTGACCTGAACCTAGGGCAGACGCCAAGTGCCTAAGTGGGGGCCACAGGGGGGGCAGCCAGCTCCCCATTCCCAAGGGTGTCAGCAGGAAAAGCTCCTGACGGCCCCCAGCTCCCAGCCTGGTGGTTGGGGGGGGGGTCCCTCTCCAGGCTTCAGTTTCCCCTCCAGGCGACCCCCAGGGCCTTCTCTCTAGGTGTCAGGCACCAGAGGAAGAGAAAGGACAAGGCCCCAGCCCTGGCAGGAGTCCTGAGGCAAGAAACATGTGAATTCAGAAATACAAGTAACCATGATTACTTTCCAAGATTCTTGAAGATTTCCCACTCCTGAGAGGGACTAACACAAGCCACTATCTGAAATGTGCCAATAATCCCATTTTCACATCCATTGTCTGATCCCTTTTGGAAGGAACACACAGTAAGCCTGTGACTTTAAATGACGAGGTCCTCCGCACAGACCTGCAGGCTTCAGGTCCAGGAGCACAGGACTAGCCTGGGGAGCATGACGGCAGGGCAGCGGAAGGCCGGCGTCTCGCTATCTCTGCCAGCCGGCGGGTCCTCGCCATGCCCTGGAAGCACATGCTGATAGCAGCCCTGGAAAACCCTGATCACTGGGCAGCGGCCAAGAACCCATTGGAGACATGCAGGGGCCGGGCGCCAGCACACGACATCAGCCCAGGCCACCATCACCGGTGTCATCGCTGCACGAGGAACACTCCAGAAGCAGCAGGCCTGGTGTTTGTACCAGCGGCACAGGACCCTGACAGCCACAGTGACACGGCCCAGCCACTGGCCTCCCTCTTTGTCCAAGGCGAGTCTGCTGACACCCAATTCCCTGAAGTGCAGATAGGGTCCGAGGCCCTCTGAGGACTGGGCATGTAGGGGCTTCAGGGCCTGGCTCGGGTGCCGGGCAGGTGGCCCTGTGTGATCATTAGCCCAGTGAGCAGACTCATCCGGCCCTGGGCCCGCTTCTGAGCTCAGGCTTCCATGGCGCATCCAACCCCAGGGCCTGACTGTTCTATAGCGGGGGCCCTGAGGTGGCACTTGCTCCTGATTCTGCCCTGAGCCCCCCTTGCAGGGGCCCAGCCACAGCCCCCTAGGGGTGGCCTGCAGCCTGGCAGACCATCAGGGAAAGGAAGCAAGCAGAGGGGACAGAGGAGGGGCACTTGCTGGGGGCGTTTCCCAGTGACACTGCAGAATGGCCCTCTTCCCCCATACCGTGTGCCCTCGAGGCCAGCCGGCACGGGCCTGGGTTTGGTCTCCTGGGCCCGCCCAGGCCCCGGCTCCCTGACTTTCCTTCACACTGACCACATCCCTATGCTGTGTGCAGTTCCACGTCTGCCCTCAGGGGCCTGCATCCCTGTGGGAAAGGGAAAGCTGAACCAGGGGCACACAAGGCAGGCCAGGCAGGGAGTCGGGGACAGCTAGGGGAGGACCTCCAGGCCCCCACCATGATGATGGTCCAGCTGGGGTCCTGCATGTCCCAGGGCTGCCCCATGCCTCCTCTCCGTCCCAGCCCTTGGCATGCCCCCCGCCTCACGCCCAGCTCTGCATGGAGACTAGTTGCCCCTCTTCCCTGCTTCCTGCCCCACCTCACGAGGGGTGGTGCATACTCTGAATGTGCACTCTCTACTCACCTGCGGGCCTCTAACACTCCTGATGCCTGGACCACCCCCGGTCCAAGTCTGTCTGCAAAGACCAGTGTCCACTGGGACCTGAGATGTGACCATGGTTTACATGGGGTTTCTGTGGGGGGATGTGGTTGGGACATAATGGAGGGGGGCCCTACCCCGGTGACTGGCATCCTCTGTGAGGGCAGAGGCAGGCAGGAGGGAGGCAGGCGACCACATCAGAGCCGTGAAGGCTGTGGCCCTGCCCAACTGGACAGAACATATTCCTACTGTCTGAAGCCACCTGTGTGGGAGTGTCACCCCAGGGAACAGGTTCAGTGGGTCTGTCAGCCAAGAGGAGCCCAGTGGGCACCCACCTGCAGAGAAAAGGCCACACATGTGGGGAAGTGTTTGCAGAGTAGTGACAGGTATGACAGGATGCACCCCCCAAATGGACTGTGCGCACAGCAAGGAGGCCCAGGAAGAGGTAGGCCCAGGGGCACTACGGTGCGTGAGACAGGGTCTGACATCTGCCTGGGAGCTGGGGGTTTAACGGTGCCTCAGCCCCCAACCAGGGAACCTCGGAGTGTGCCCGAAGGCTCTACAGGAGACCGCCTGCAGGGGAGGTGCAGGCACAGGCCCCTAGGCTCTTGGGGGCTCCCCTGGGCTGGTCTTGTCTGGGCATGCAGACCCTGCTCCTAGGGCCTGGCACTCCCCCTGCCCACTGCCCTCCTCCTCATAGGCACACAGTACGTTGTGTGGGCCCCGTGCCTGAGTGGACATGGAAAACGGGGACCCCAGCCCAGTTCTTCTGGGGCCCACAGAGCGCCAAGGCAGGGGCTGCCGTCCCCAACCAGAACTCCTCCAAGGGCCCCACAGGGTGGGGGAGCCACCTAGCCCCAGGAGGCTCTCGCTGCCCTGCCTCCCTTTCAGAGCAGGAGCGCCAACTGAGCGCTCCAGGGTTTAAAAGTTGTTCAGCTTCATCACCTCACGTACCACCAAATGATTGCCCACTCCCTCTGCTAAGGTGGAAAAGTCGAGCCCGCACAAGTAGGGACTTTCCCACTGCCACTCCCCTTCCCCGTGTGTTGCAACCCATGCAGAGCACCCCCGTGCAGTCCAGTAGGCCCCTCAGCCCCATGCAGAGATCTGCAACCCCCACCACCAAGCTCACAATCCCGCCACGGCCCAGGTGACCCGCAGCTCATCCGAGCATTGGCCATGTGATTCTTTGCTCTGAGGGTGACAGTCCCCACACAGGCCAGTCCTGAGGCCCCCCCACCCTGACACCTCCTGGGTCTGCCTTCCAGGGCACTGCCCTCTGTGACAGCAGCTCCCGGTGGGTCACACTGCAGTGGCTGGAGGAGGAGGACGCCAAGTGCGTGATAAAGGCACAGTCACATTTATTAGGCATAACAATACAGAAAAGCGTGACAAAGACCAAGCGGCCCGCACCACCTCCCAGACAGCCAGCAGCGCTCTCGCACACCCTGCCTTCTCTCCCAGCACTTACTTTATTGCACAAGTGGGTGTGTCACAAGTACTGCTCTTCAAACTACTCCTGTCACACAGCCTGTTTCTGGGCCCAGAGCTGCTGTGGGGGCCCTTGGCTTCGGAGGCACATGCCCACCACCTCTCCCCCGTAGGATGCAGGCTTTGAGTCCCTGCCTGACACAAACCCCGATTCCCTCTCCTGGGAAGAGCCCAGGCCAGGCCTTGGGGGCTGGGAAAGTTCCCTCCACGTTCCACATCTTCAGATCAAGGGTTGAAGTCAGTTCTGCAATCCAATCACCAGACCCCAGGGCTTCTAACAAGGCTGCTCCCAGGGACCTGCCCTGCTCACCACACGGTGACAGTGGGAGGGGACCTGGCTGGAAGCCACAGAGAGCCAGGGCTGGGGGCCCAGGTGAGAAGGCAGGCAGGCCTCGGGCCTCCACCGGCCCTTTGGAGCAGGCGAGGCAGCAAGCAGCCACAGAACCCAACAGAGCGGCATCCCCTGGCGGCAGGGTGTCCCGGGCCCTCACAGCCCACTTAGCCACTGTTCTGCTGTGGGGAGCGGGGCCGGTGTCCCACGCTGGCCAGCCTTGGGAAGGGCAGTGGCAGGTCGGGAGTCCACGGGACGGCCGAGACACAGAAGGAAGCGGCTGTGACCCACACCTGAGCTCATGCAGATTTATTGTCCCCACCCACCTCCCAATGGGGGGGAGGAACACCACGGGGGCAGCCCGCCAGGCTCAAGGTGACATGGTGAAAAGCACGACTCTATGGGCACCTTCGTGCATGCTCCCACTGAGCCCAGCACACCCGGGCTGGTCAGAGCTGGCAGTCCTGCCGCATCTGCTGGGCCAGCTGCTGCCCGATGGCCAGAAGGGGGCTGGCTCTGTAGGCCGGGCTGGCCAGCAGCTCCTGAAAGCGGGTCCTTTCTTCCTCGCTGAAAGAGTCCAGGTCAGAGCAGGTCAGCAAGCCCCACGCCCTCTACGGGAGGCCAGAGTGAGCATCAGCAACCCGGGACCTGCCTCGGCTCAGCCAGCCCACACACAGGCCCTCAGCACAGGCCAGGGGTTACCACGCGATCAAGTGGGAGGGCCTGAGGGATCCCTGTGGGGAAGGGGGCGCTGGAACAGGGATGGGGCTGAGAGAGGCAGGGGCTCTGTGAAATTCTGCCCAGACCTTCTCCATCAGGGGCAGGGGGCTGCCTTGCTGGGTCAGGCGGAGGGAAGACAAGGAGGGTCTGAGGGCTGACTGGGGACAGTGGGCAGCAGGGCCACCTCAAGGTCACACACACCCCAGGCCTGCCCACAACCTTGACGGGGGGCTACTAAAGGCAGGAGGCTGAGAAGCATGGGGGACGGCAGCCCACATGTGCTGTGCAGACTGGCGACATCAGAGGCTCTGCGGACGCAGACGCAGTGCTGCAGAACAGGCGGGCGGGAGGCTGCACCCCATGCGCCCTAAGGCCCGCCCGCTCACCAGGGGGCCCTGACGGGGAGGCAGGAAGATGTCCTCGGACCCTCTCCTCCTGCAGGAGCCCCGAGCCAAGGTCACCGGGTGGCTGCCCGTCCCCAGCCAGCGGAGGGGGTCACCCCGCCTCTCAGAAGCATGGGGGTCGGCCTGCACTCCACAGGCCCTGCAACCCGGCCGTGGCCACCCGCGCCTCAGCTGGGTGCCCCTGGGGAATAACACCTCTGCCCCAGGCATTGGTCAGAAACCAGCACAGCAGCTCCAGGCCTACAGGGCACCCTGTCAAGAAGGGAGATGGGCAGGGACAGCTTACCCATGGGGTGGGTGAATGGGGTGGGAGCGGAGCTCGTGCTCTGCTCCTGCTTGCATGACCCCAGCCAAGGTCACGGTGCAGTGGGCCCAGCTTTCTTGGCTGCTGATGGGGAGACAGAACCCCATTGGGCAAGGGGGGCCCACACCAGCCCCCAAGAAGGAGCTGGGTCCCAAGAGGTGGCATCAGCCCTCATCTGACAGCACCTGCCCCTCGCCTCCCCAGGGGGTTGGGGAAGGGGCTGTGTTGCCCTGCTGCAAGCAGGCTCCTCATGCCAACAAAAGGGGGCTGCCAGTGATGCCCCACGCTGCCCCGGCGCCTGAAGGGCCTGGGGTTTGGGGACTTTGCCAGGCGCCTGACAGTCCTGGGGGTGGGGTGGACAGATGGCGGCAGACTGTACTCACAGAAGCTGGAGCCTCTGGGCTGCGCTCATGCGGCTCCACTCGGCCGGCCGGGGCTTGCTGCTCGCCCTGCCGGACACACAGATGCTGAATCAGTGCGGCCACCTGCCCTGCACCTCTGCCAGCTGCACTGGACCCAGAGGTCACCGCCCCCAGAGGGCTCCTAGGTCGCTTGGGACAGCCCTTTCCCCACTGTGGGTGGGAGCACACATGGCCTCACAGGCCCCATGTGGCAGGAGCATGACCCCAACAGGAGGGCAGGGCAGGAAGGCCACCAAGCACAGGGCATGCACCCAAGCTGAGCCTCAGCGGGGAGCTCGTCCCTCACTCACGTCTCAGTCAGAAATGAATGAATGGTATTTCTGTCGACCCACTTTTCCCTCCCCACTGGCTGGCCTGGGCTTCTGCTCTCAGCTCAGTCCCTCCGTCCCATGCAGGCTCCCATCTCTGACTCCCCATCTGCGGCCTCTCCCAGGTCAGCCTCGGCCTCAGGATATGGCCGTACTGCCTCTCCCATGGTTGACCCCTCTCCATGTGGGCACCCGGAGCAGGTCCCTTGAAGAACTGCCTCTCTCTGGCCAGTGCCCCCAGGGGGCGGCCACATGCTGGGAGGTCAGGGGGCTGGGGCTTGGATCCCCGTCCAGTCTATACAAAGGCAAATGGGCAGAGGCTTCCACAGCCCCTCCATTGACAGCTGAGTGTCCCAAGGCCACATCCAGGAGACCCCTGGGCATGCAGGGACCGTCACGAGCCCAAGCCAGCTGCAGACAGTCTGTGAGATCTGGGAGGCTGCACCAGCAGGTAGTGCCCTCAGCCCCAGCTACCGGCCCAGGTGTGCTCCAAGTGTCCACTCCAAGGCCACCAGGCAACATGGGGTGCCAGCAGCAGTGACCCAGCAGCCAGCAGCATGCGGCGCCTGCCTCGTTCGTCAGGCAGAATACAGCTGTCACTGGGATGCGCATGCACACAGACCTCAGGACTCCAACCTCTTCCGGACGAACACAGCCCGCTGGCGGCACCATTGCTACTCGCTATCTCCGGGCAGCCATGCTGCAGGGTCTGTGCTGTGCAGCTCACCCCGAGGGAGCCTGAGATTTGGAATGGACTAGGAGGGGCCCAGGGCCTGGGTTGGGATGTCTGAGAGGGCAACTGGGGTCTGAGTGTCCAGGGCCACAAGGCTGTCCACACACCACATCCCAGCCAACCCGACTCCAGGGCAGGCCTGGGGGTGGCAACAGACTCGTGTCAGCTATGCCATCTGTCCCCCTGCCTGAAGTCACCCCTTGCTGGGACCTGCCTGAACGGCACTTCTCCCTGGCTGCAAGAAATTCTGTCCAGGCAAAGGCATGGATGAGCCAAACACTGCATATCACAAGCATTCAGGGGCTGAGCCTGCTCTGTGAGCTACAGGACAAAGGGACCCCGGCCTGGTGAAATGAGGCCAGTCGGGGACAGATGGCCTGGAGGCTCAACAGGGCATGGAAGTGGTGTAAAGACACCAAAATCCACACACCCTGGTGACAGAGCCCGAGGCTAGCCCTCCTGCCATCCACGATGCGGGGAGGGGGCAGAACTGTGCGAGCACTCCCTGCTAGCAACACTCCTGCATGGTCCGCACGCAGCCATAGGGAACCCCACTGTCCTGCCTCCACGGGGAGGCGTGGCCAGAACTCTGCATAGGGACCCTGGGGTCTTGTCCCTTGGCTGACCTTAACCTGTACCCTTCCGCCATCACAACCCAATGAGGGATGTAAAACCTTCTTGAGCTCCATTGTGTCCTAGAAAATTAGCAAACCTAACGGTGGCCTTGGGGACCCGCACACTTGCCACCTCAGCACAGGTGAAGATGGTCTTATAACCATGGCAGAAGCACACCCTGGTCAGTGTGCACACATTGGCTGAGGGCTCCTAGTCCACAGTCAGCACACCGAGCACAGGTGCAGCACCCACCCTCCCATGAGGGGCCAGGGCCGCCAGGGAGTGCCCAGGATGGGCCGCAGCACCTGGCAGACCCAGATGGAAGGAAGGGCTCAGAAACACAGCACTGCCTGCCACGGATGGGCTGTCAGAGGGACACGGCCCCCTGGAAACAGCTCCCCGAGGCCGGAGCAGAATGGTGGCTGGAGTGGAGCCCAAAGCACGAGGAGGCCCCCACGAGCCCACTCGGATATCAGTGGCTGGGACGCGAGCAGGGACAAGAGGGAGCCTCTGCAGGGGAGCTCCAGGCCGCTGTGTGGCTGCCCCGTCCCCAGGGAGGGGGCACCCCTCAGGTGTGGGCTGGGAGGGCTCTCTTTCCCGAGGACAGCACAGGGACCAGTCTGGAAAAGCCCCGCCAGGCGGCATGGCCGATGCCCAGGCAAGGCCAGGCTGGGCACGCACTGGCACTGGGCAGAGGGACGGCCCTCTCTGTAGTCTTCCCCCAGCACCGTGACCCAGTCCAGTCATGAGAAGTCCCCAGGCCGTGCCAGCCGGGGACAGCCTGCAGATGCCTGCCCGGCGCCCCTCAGCGCCGTCAGGGTCATCAAAGCTGAGGGAAGTCAGAGGAGGCCTGAGGGGCATGACAGCTAAATACACGGTGTCGGGATGGGGTCCGGGACAGAAAGAGGGCATAGGGGAAAGCTGGGAGATGAGCTGAACGGCCATGTCAGCACCAGTCCCTGAGCTGTGCTGAAGTGCCACACTCACATAGGATGTCTTGATGTGTGAAGTGTGTAGGCCTCTCGGGACCGTCATCCCTCTGTAAACCTGTGACTGTTCTAAAATAACGTTTATTCAAACCAACAGTCCCCTAGTGCCAAGAAACTGGAGTGGGGAGAGTGATCCCAGCCAACAGAAGGCCCAGTGGCTGGGAGGCCAGCCGGGAGCACTCCTGCACCCAGGGACACCCATGGCCTCCCCAGCATGCTCAGCTCAGCACCGGGCAGCCCCAGGGCCCACACACACCTCCTGGAGCTGCTGACAGGGTGTGTATGCAGTTCTCTCTCCTCTGGGGGCCCCAGGAGCATTTTTCAGATGAGAAAACTAAAAGCAGGGAAAGGATTCTTGACCTGGGTCACATTTTTGTTCAAGACCCAGGATGGAATTTGCATCCCAGGCTCTGGTTCAGTCTCCAAGTCCCAATGCCAGTGGCCACTCCTTTCTGGACTGAAAGTCCTGGCTGCTTCCCCCACAGGGAGCCTGCCTGGGGCCACAGCAGCTGAGTGGCCTGAGCTGGCCCACCCCTCAGGCCAGTGAAAGGCTGCTTTCTGCTTAGAGGGAAAGTTAGTAGAAGCAATAGAATTTTTTTTTGAAAAAGACAAACTTAGAGAGAGCACAGTAAAAGATGCAGGTAGAGCGCCGTGACAGGACAGAAAACCTTCCGACTTCCACAAGTTCAGAGCGAGGCCAGTCCGAGCCCAGAGCCCCTGCTGACCAGAACAGAGTGATCCAAGCCCCACACCTGTGCCAGGAGCCTCCCTGCAGGGCCAAGCCCAAGGCCTTCTCCTTTTCTGAAAAGAGCAGCCTGGGAATAGGAGGGACGTGCTTCTGTACAGCCCACATGTCCTGGGGAGGCAGAAAGCACCCTGAAAGAATGCTCTGGTTTTGGAGAGAGGCCCCCGTGGCAGCAATCTGGCAGGCTGCCCCCAGGGTGAGAGCAGGGCCCAGAACATCCAGGGGGCAGTGCCAGGCAGCAGCTGCCTCCAGGCTCAGGTGCTCCCCGCACAGGGCTGAGGCATGTCCCAGTGTGCCCGCCACACTGTTCAGGTTGTCGGCCAGCAGAGGCCCCAGGGCCCCAGCCTCAAGCAAGGGAGGGCCGCCTGCTCACCTGGCAGTTCAGTCCCCGAGGGCAGATCTCTGGGGCATCAGCAGGGCAGACACCCCATGCCCCCCACCCCTGGCAGCTGCTGCCCTGCCCTACACAGGGTCACGGCTGCAGCTCCTGCCCCTGGCAGCCTGGCACCCCTGAGCAGCCTTGGATGGACACTCACCCTCGTGTGTGTGGCTGCTGGCTGCCAGCCTGGGGCTCTGGTGGCTCAGGGAGGGCGTCCCTCAGGGGCTGCAGGTCCCCCACCACCACCGTGGCCCTCCGCCTCCGTTCTGCCTTGTGCTTCTGCTCGGCCAGTTTTATGGCTTCAATTTCTGAGGAAGAGGGACAAGGGGTTAGCGAGAAGCCAGACCAAAGGCTGCATAAAGGAGCATGGTGACAAACAAGGAGGCAGCCTGACAGTCTGACTCCTGGGCCCCGGGGCAGCCCGCCCTCTTGCCCACAGGCACCCACCTTCCCTGCATCACAGGCTGCCACCCGAGCCATCTCCCTTTATCTCAGAGGACACTTTCCCATTACAGACCAAGGGCCTGAGGTTGCAGGTGAGGCTTTTGCCTGGAAGAGGCGCTGGTGGGGTTCAGCAGAGGGAGAGGGAGCAGTGGGTCCCCAGGGGGAGGCTGCATCCAGACAGTGACCCGGGGGGACGGTCAGCCCAAAGCGAGAGGGGAGGGTGCCACAGAGGTCCCGCACAGGGGACAGGCAGCCACAGGAGGGGCCCGCGACCACCCTGGGAGGGATTGGCCCAGGCGGCTGGGCACAGTGTAGGTGAGGAAGACCCAGGGAGTGAGGTTGCCGGGCGCCCGCACTGGAGAAGGGGTTCAGGCAGGGCCGTGGAAGTGGTTTTCATTTAGGAATATGTTTATTTCAAAGTTGCTAATAAACACAGGCCCAAACACATCATTTCTACTGTGGGCCTGGTGGGAAGTGAGGTTCACTAGCCTGTGAGCAGGTCTCGCACCAGGAGACAGCTGGCAGCCAGGGTTCCAACACAGTGAAAGGCAGCTGATTTAAACTACAGAGGCACTGAACAGTTCCGCATTTGACCTTTCTTTAAGAGCTTGGAGGGGAGGGCTGTGATGGGTTTAGGACGGCCAGACCTGAGCTTCCAAGCCCACGTCACCTGCTGTGAGTAACAGGCCACAGCTGAATCGCATCTCAAAAGGTTACAAGTCACTTTCTCCACAAAGGCAGACGACTCACAGCCCAGCCCCTTCTGGAAGGCCATGTATTGCCAGAGCGGCATCAGCCTGGCCCACAAGTGACCCCTATGGACTCTCCCTCCCGGAGCTGGTGCTCTAAAACCAGGTCCTTCAGCAGTGTGCCCAGCCATCACCCCTCGGGGAATCCAGAAGGGCGGTGAGGCCCGGCAGGCACAGAGCAGGCCAGGAGGACTGCAGGCCTGGATGGAGCACCCAGGTGGGAAGACAGACAGGACAGCCTGCCATCTGATATCAAGAGAGTGTGTGCACAGCACTGAGGCCCAAGAAGCATGTGTGGAAAGCCAGCGGTAGATGGTGGCACCAACAGGTGTTCTCAAAAGAACCCTTTCCAGAAACTGAAACTGCTCGTCTCCCAGTGAGGAGCCCCGGCCGGCTCTCAAGGCAGGAGGCAGGGCTTCTCCTCCTGGCCCTGGGCAGTGCCGCCCCACCCCGATGCCCCTCAGTTGCAAGAGCCTTAAGGCCCATCCGCCCTGACCACATCCCTGATCAGGAGAGCCCCGGAGGGTCCCCAGGAGCCTCTCCTCCATGGTCTTTGTGCACAGAGCCCCACAGCAGCCCCATGTCCTGTGTCATTAGGGTCTGTGAGGGGCCCTTTGATGCTTTCCATCCTGCCAGGAAGAGGGTAAATGATTGAGCCCCTCATGAAGCTGGGGGCCTCCTGCTCAGAGCTCAACCCCCTAGGTGGGCTGAGATGGCTGGGGGCAGGGGGACTCCAACATCACAGTAGCTTCCCCGGCTGGCGGACCCAGCACCAGGCTGCACAGGACCAAGGCAGGCAAAGCGGAGACCGGTGGCTTCTGGGAAGACAGGTGCAAACAGCTACACAGGGGTCAGTGGTCGGAGCTGAGCATTTTAGATCACCAGTGTGTGCGGTCTGGCTCGGGTGTATCCAAGGCAAGCAAAGGCAGCTGGACATGGAGACATCCACCAGGCGGCCCCCAGCAGTGTCTGCCTAGGAGCAAGAAGCCACAGTTGCCACCAGGAGTGCCTAAAGGGAGCTGCAGGCTCCCATGTGCTCAATGAGAATCACATAGACCACGACCAGGAGGGACGCCCTTACGTGGACAGATTACCACCAGAAGGGTTACATTTTGTGGTAGAACATTTGACACTCAAACACAAAGCAGAACAAGAGGCTGAGGAGACCCAAGCCAATCCCCGCAGCTGGCTCAGTACCCAGCGAGGGACAGGGCAGGACTACGGGGCCCTGGGCTGCACACCAGCACACAGGAGCAACTCTTCCACTCCAACCAGTCCACAAATCCGACACCACATCAACCTTCAACAGGATTTTTACCAGAATCTGTGAAACTAACTCTAAATCTGATTTTTTTTAAGAAGACTAAATGTGTAAAAATAGCTAAAACAATTTTGAAAAGGAACAAGCAACAAGAGAGCAGGCCTACTGGACAGTAAAGCAAACTGCAAAACAACCGAAAATCAGTGGTCTGATGGGGAGGGGTCGTCCTTTTGGGGAAAGGTGGGCCCGTCTCTCCATTTCCTAAAATTAATTATGTGGGTTCCCCTAGAAATCACAGGAAAGACAGACAAGGCGAGTCCCAGACCACCCAGTTCAGAGTCCAGTGAGGGGTCTGGGGGCCATCCAGAGCTGGAAGACAGGGTGACCCAGGCAGCTGGACTCCCCAGGCCACCCCACATCAGGCGGGTGGCTGGGCCCTTAGCAGCACTTCACGCACCAGGGAAGTGCGTGCATGAAGCCAAGGAGCAGACGGGTGGCCATGGGGAGGGCTCTGCAGCAGGACTGGCAGGGACAAAGGCCCTGGGGCAGAAGCAACATGTACACAAGGGGCAGGGGTGTGAACCCACCAGCCCCAATGGGCAAGGCTTTGTCTCACACACAGGGAGGGGACACACACACAATGTGTTTCTACTGCTCCAAACCCCAGCATGCATGCCAGCACAAAAGCAAGTCTCTGAGTGTAAGCCTACAGCCAAGCAGCAGTAAATCCTGGCCAGAAAATGGGGGCCTGGCTGGTAGAGAACAAGCCCTCAACTTTGCCTGTGCTACTTAAACTCCTTTATACTGTCTACCAGAGTGCAATTAAAACCTTATTTGCCCTCAGATTTGGGTGCCCTTTCATTCTGGCCAGGGAGGTGGTAACACAACAGGACGGAAACAACAGGGAATTGAAGAGGCCTCGGTTATGTGCCTGCGGACCCCTCACTGGACTCTGAACTGAATGGTCTGGGGCTCACCTTGCCTATCTGTCCTGCGATTTCTAGGGGAACCCACATAATTAATTTTAGAAATGGAGGGAGGGGCCCGCCTTTTCCTGGCACAGAGCTGCAGGCTGGCAGCTCTCAGCAAGGCAGACAGTCTTGCAGACCTCTCCACGGCCCCTCCCCGCCCCAGGCCGCAGAGCCCACTTCCGCAGCACAGGTGTGGTGGGAAGCAGAGGGGAGGCCCGACCACTGCCCTTGCCCGGCCCTCCCGGCAGTCCTGAGGGGCAGGCCCTGCCACGCCCTTGTCCTGTATGCTTCCCCACCCCCCAGGCCAGGTAGGCTGGGGCTCACCACTCCTGGTTGGCTTCCCCCACAGGTAGGCACCCTGTGTACAGACAGCCCCGTTCATCAGCTCCTCACCTGGCAAACTGTTCTGAGGGTGCCAGTCCAGAATGACTTGCACACTGCCATCTGTCCCCTCAGGGGCAGACTTTCACGGCCAGCCCACTCCTGAGGAAAGGGGACAAGGAAAGGTCCCTTCCACCTACGCTGTGGTCTGGAGCAGCAGTGCAGAAGCAATGACGGTGGGGGAGCATTTTCAGGGTGGCCTGGCTGGGGGTGCACAAGGCCTCATCCCACCCCAACCACTCTACTGCAAGGTTCAGCTATGAGATTCCCAGAGACTGATGCCCCTATATTCTAAGTGGTTTAATTCAAAACTAGCTTGAGGTACAATCAAGAAAAAGCATTCCATATGCAAATTAGGCCTCCTAAAACAACCTCACTGGCTATGGGAAGCCCAGTTCCCTGTGGCACCCAGGTGGGCTGGCACAAGCTCCCTGAAGGGAGGCAAGGGAAGTAGTCTCCTTGTCATTCCCTCCTTCCTCCCTGCCCACATTTTCTAGTTCATAAAAAGCTGAAGGGAAATTCCTTACAAATGGGCCTAAAACAGAATGCATGAGGGCACCTTGTTGTGCACCACTGTGGCCTGGTCACTCACCCTGAACAAGGCAGGCTCACAGGATGCTGACCATGGCCCAGACCCTTAGCCACTCAAGACTGTGAGAAATTCTGCACCAAAGGTTCAAGCCACTGCAGTAAGATGAGAAGACATGAAAACATAAAGTTTGGAAAGGAAGATGTAAAACTGTCTCTATTTTAAGAAGCATTACTACTTATGTAGAAAATTCTAAGGAATGTACAGAGTAGCTACCAGAACTAATACATGATTTCATCAAGGTCAGGGGCTACAAGATTAAAACAAAGATATTTTTACACACTAGCAGAAAAGTAGAAAATGAAGCTTTTGAGAATTCTAGCTACAATAGCTTCAAAAACTATAAAACAGCAATAAACTTATCAAAAAGACCCATGTGAGCCCTCTCCTCTACAAACTACACACTGATAATAGAAATTAAAACCAGAAGAAATGGAGACACACATACCATGTTCACAGATTCAAAGACTCAGCATTGTTAAAATGGCAACTCCCCAGACCCATGTGAGCCCTCTCCTCTACAAACTACACACTGATAATAATAGAAATTAAAACCAGAAGAAATGGAGACACACATACCATGTTCACAGATTCAAAGACTCAGCATTGTTAAAATGGCAACTCCCCAATATGATCTACAGACTCAAAGTAACCTCAGTCATTCTCCTACCAGGCTTTTTTTGGGGGGGAGGGATCGTGGTGGTCTTTAAAAGAGCGACAAGCCTATAATAAAATCTATACAGAAACGCCAAGGATCTGGAATAGCAAAGCCATCTTAGAACTGCAGAGCTAGAACAGAGGACTCCGTGGTCTGACTCAGACTTATGCTAACGCCACAGCCTGTACATGGGGACGCGCGAGAAAGGGGTCAACAGAGGTGCACCCCAAAACAGGACCTCACTTAGAAGCCATCTGATTTTCACAAAGACTCCAAAACAACCGAATGAGGAAACACAGGTCTTTATAACATGTAGCGCTAGCACAACTGAATATCCACAATGAAGAGAAAAAGAGAACCTTAGCCACCACCTCACACCACAGACAACCATTAATCCAAGATGGATCAGAACCTGAAGATAAAAGCCAAAAGTTCAAAGATTTTAGAATAGGACAGAATCTGTACAACCTAAAATTCAGCAAAGTTTTCTTAAACAAGACACACACAACCATATAAGAAAAAAAATTAGATTCCTCTAAATTAAACTTCTTTGCATCCAAAAAAAAAAAATTGTTAAGAAAATGAATAGGCAGGTAAGTCTGGAAGAAAATTATTTGCAAAACAAACACCTGACCAAGGACTGGTCTCCAGGAAATAAAAATTCTTGAAGCTCAATAATAAAAAGGCAAAGGGCCCCTCGAAACAGACACTCAACTGTAGACGATACTCAAACAGGCGGTAAGTTAAGCACAGAAAATGTTCATTAGTGGCCACGACAATTTCCAGCACAATAAGCTACCACTTCCAGAAGAGACCAGCATCACAGAGGGCTGGCAAAGCCAGGGTGTGGCCAGAGCTCTCCCACGTTGCTGGTGGGAGAGCAAATGTATAACCACTTTAGAGGAACGTCTGGCAGTTGCTTATGAAACTAAACATACACCTGCCCTATGACCCAGCATTCCATTCCCAAGTATTTATCCAAGAGAAACGAAAACATATGTCCACAAGAAGACTTGTAAGGAATGTTCATAACAGCCTTATTCATAGCAGCTAAAGAGAAAAACGGCCAGGTGTCCATCAACAGTGGGCCCCAAAGAGTATGTCCATATAAAGAAGCACTTCGAGCAATACAAGGGCGTAGCAGCAGCTGCACGCAGCACGGACAAGTCTCAGAAACAGCCCACTAAGCCAAAGGATCCAGAGCCCAAAAGAGCACATCCTATATGGCGCTGTTTCTATAATGTCTGGAGCAGTGAGACACGAACTATGACCCGAGAGTGGTCGGACAGTGGCGACCTCTGGGGTAGCCAAGGGTGGGAGCTGACAGAAGGGGTGGGGGCTCCCAGGGTACGCCGATGTGCTGTACCTGGAAAGGGATTTTGGTTGCACAGGTGTAACCGTTTGCCATAGATCGCTGGATTGGCACACTTAACTAACTGCGTTTCATTGTATGTAAACTTTACCTCAAAATAAAAATAAAAAAGAGCCATAACCAAGTAATGAATTCCAGAAGTATTTGGGAGAAAGCGTCCTGATGTCTGCAGCTGACTCTGGAAGGCACGGTGAGACGCAGCCTGCTGTACGGGGGGCTGATGAGCAGTCAGCGAGGATATGTTCTGTGTAAAGTCTAGGTGGTGGGACCTGCTCTTCTGTATGAAATTTTCCATAATAAAATATTAGGTAAAATTGGCTTGGGAGCTGTAGTTAAGGGTATATTCAGAGGCTAACTTATAGCCCGTCATTCCCAAACAGAACCGATAAAAACACAGGGGCTAAGTACTCAGACCTAAAGAAAACAAGAACAAGGTATTAAAAAAACACAAACTAAGAATTTAGAAAGCAGAGAAGCAGAACAGACAAGTAACTACAAGATTTCTTAGAAGGGAAGAGATAAGCTGCCCAGAACGTGAAGAGGCGTTACCTGAAGGACAGGGATCATGCATCAGGGGGCCGAGCCCCGTGATCTGATCATGTGAGATGCTTTCGCAGGAAATGAGAGCCCAATGCTGACGGGGCGGCAAGAAAGACCAACTGCCATGGAAGGAAAGTTAAATGTCACCCAAGCACTGAGACCAGAAACACGCGGGGTCCCAGTGGTTTCCGTCAGCTTCTGCATATCCGCTTCCCAAGGGACGCTCTACAGAACCCCACACTAGGGACCATGGAAAGGAAAATGGATGAACAGACCACTTTCTTAAGAAACATCCAAAAAGTGACAGAAATGATAAAATTAGTAATTGTGGAAGAAACTGACAAATATCTCTAAAAAATTAAAAACACACTTTCCTTACGACCTTCAAGGAAAAAATAATGTGGATCGCAATTTCACTGAGACAGCATAAAAAAGAAAATAATCCAAATTAACTTAAAGTTAACAGAATGTTAAAAAAAACAGTAAAAAAAATTACAAAACAATCTTCATAAGAAAATTTTTAGAAAAATAGTAGCAAACATTCAGCATCACGGGCAGTAGCTATGTCCCGAGACATTATCGGTGGAAGGAGGTGTGGATATCCAACCGTGTAGGGCAGGGCATCCAGCTGCCGGTGGGTGAGGAAACCCGCTAGGCGCCAGACCCGGGGGCAGGCACGGCCCGAAGGACACACACCTCACAGAGAACTGTCAGGAAACTACCGTCAAGCACCGTCACTCTGGTGATGACACATCTCATCACCCAGCTTCAGAGGCCCCCCTCTTGGGAAGGAGCTAGACGGGGCCCTGCAGGCCCTGGTGTGGGAAGGCAGCGCCCCCCCTTCTGGGCCATGTGCTGGGCACGGGCACATCACAGCCACTCGGGGCACACGTGCTGCGGGACCTCCCCAGCCCGGGCCCCCAGCGTGCAGCGGTAGGGCAGGGCAGACTTACTCTGCAGCCACCTCTCACGCCTCAGCTTCAGCTTCTCCTTCTTGGGCAAAATGGTCTTCGCCTCGGTGCCTGAGGGCAGACAGAGAACAGGTGGGGTGAGGGGGGCATTCTCGTGCCCACAGAAGCCTGCAGCTCCCACCCTATGGGGTTTCCTTGGCTATTTACACAGATCCATGATGTCTGAGGATGCCCAGCAGGCCTTTACCAGCAGCCCTCCACCCCAACGCCAGGATGGCCGTGGGGATGAGGTACAGCACACCCACGCAGCCCAGAGGTACCACACAGCTCACAGAGAGGAAGCACGAGCCAGCAGTGACTGGGCAGAGGCCACGAGGCCCCCAGGTCCCTGCTGCTGGGCCCCCTCAGGAGCCTGTCCTCAGCCCCACAGCATATCTGCTGACCTTTAGTCAGAAGCCCTGGGCACGTTTCTATCACAGACCCTATGAATGAGCCCCACTTCACAGAGCAGAAAGCAGAGGGTCAGAGGGGCCAAGACTTGCTCCAGGTCACCAGGACACCATGGACAGACTGAAACAGAGCTGATGGCTGGGCCCCAGCCTCCAGTCTCCCCAGCACAACGGTCTGGGACTGAGCCCCACTGAAACATCGCCAGCACCCCTGGGACCACACAACTGGAGGGGTGTTTGAGACACAGGATTTAGAGATTTATTCCCCAAAATAAAACAGGAACCAAGGTGTAGGCACAGGTTCTACTTCACTAAGACCAGGAGAAACAAAGCAGCACCCAGGTCTGTCGAGAGAAACACAGTGATCCCACTAAACTCGACTTCGTTTCAAAACCCAGGTAGAAGTCCAAATCCCGTGACTCCACAGGAACCCAGTCCCTTTCCCATCAGCGAGCTCCTGCATGCTGTGGCCTGTGCTTAAACCTCCAGACATGCCTGGAGCTGACCTACTTTCCTCCTCATCCCGGCCTCTCATCCGCCAGCAGAAGGGGGGACCTCTGACTGCAGAGCACCCTTAGCTGAGAGGTGGCAGGCTGCTCGTGAAAGAGGGAAGAGCAGGGGGCCTGCCGCACACCCCTGCTCTGCCAGCCAGCACAGTTGTCAGCCCCCCAGCACTCCCGACACTGCACCCCAGCACAGGAGCCACAGGTGCAGCGCCAAGGCAGGCACCTGTGCAGCCTGGTGCGGGGGTCACAAGCCCCAGGGACAGGATCACAGTGTGAGAAGGGTGAGAGGCACCTGTCTGGGGGCCGTGGCTGAACCCACCCAGCAGAAGGTGGGAGGGGGGCCTCCCACAGGAGCCCCCACGGACGCCAGGTAGGGAGCACACCGAGGGGTCCAGGAAGACTTTCTCCCCACCGCCCCACAACTTGCCATCACTCTGAAATAGTTCAAAAGAACATTGTCTACAAGCTCAGGAGACTGACCCACGTGTGGCGGCATCTGAATGTAGAGCAGGTGGAGCCCGACCCTTCCCAGCTCTGCCCCGGGACCTCTGCCCAACAGCCCATCTCCATGGCACCAGGGAAACAGGAACCAAACAGGCTGGCCCTGCTAGCCGGCACAGGGCTTGGAAAGCTAAGCCCCGCCAAAGCAGCTGCAACACTAGTAGCAGGCCCTGCAGGCCCCAGAGCTTGGGTACATCTGCAGCCTGGGCAGTATGCTGGACACAAGGCCGGGCGCCAGGAGCCCTGCTCACCTCGGGTCCCTGCTGTGTCCCTGCGGGTGCCCCCATGCACCTGGAGGGCTCTAAGAGCCCGAGCCACTCGGGGCAGGCAGGGCCCGGCTCCGCACTGAGCCCCAGCCTCTGACAAGACAGGAGAAGGAGCCCTGCCAGTCCCTGCCTTGAACCGCAGCAAGCATGCCCAACCTATGGCTGCCTGCTCAGCGCACATCCAACGGCTACACAAGCCTCAGCAGAAAGGGCTGTGGGGTCACACAAGCAGGGTGTTTAAAAGCGCCTGCACAAAACTGCACCCCGGTCCCTCCCAGAGCCACGGTCTTGGGACACACCCTGACTGCCAGATCACCTGGAGTCGGCACTGCAGCCCCACTGGCCGTGGGTGAGGGGGACAAGAGGTGTCCAGCAGCATTTCTCATGATTCACAAAGTGGCAGCGACGGGTCCAGTCATCCCAGTCCAAGGACTCAACAGGAACTCAGGGCGGGAGCCAGGAACGCCAAGTCTACAGCAGGCCCGGCCGACCCGGAGCATTCCCAGGACCCAGAGAGCAGCCTGCCCTTAAGGATGAGCAGCTCTCCAGGCCTAAGATAAAAACAAGACTTAAAAGAAGATGTATGCACCTTACATATTGTGGCCAAGCTATGGCAGTACCCAAGTACCCACTGCTGGACACCTGGCTGCAGGTGTGGTACACATACATACAGTGGACATTACCCAGCCATAAGTAAGAAAGAAATTCTGCCCTCTGCAACATGAAGGACCCAGAGGGTGTTATACTAAATGGAATAAGTCAGAGAAAGACAAACACCATATGATTTCATTTATATGTGTAATCTAAAGGATAAAACAAGTGGACAAAACACTCAAAACAGACACAGACATAGACTGGTGGTTGCCACAGAGGAAGGGGGTAGGGGGATGGGTGTAGGTGAAGGGGATAAAGAGGTAAAACTTTCAATTATGAAACAGTCACAGGGATGGAAGTACACACAGGAAAAGAGCTGACAGTCCTGACATTTCTCTGTGCACTGACCACAGGGAGAGGGCAAGCAGCAACCACGCAGGCATGGAGCCTCCTGGGGCGCAGGCCCCTGCTCTCGGGCTCCCCTCTGGCCAGCATGAGGGGAGGGATTCTGGCCTGATGTCCACTGCCCACCCGTGCCTCCACTGACCTGGCCCATCTCCCTGGCTGCCCCCAGGTTATGGTGGGGGGGCCAGGCAGGGGGACTCCAGAAACACGGGCCCAGGGGACAGCAGGCCACACAGCTGCACAGCACCTCTGCAGGTTCCAAGGATAGAGGCAGGGGCTCACCCTCCCAGGCTCCTCTCAGGAGAGAAAGTCAGCAGAGACCATCCCAGGAGCCAAGCACCCACTGCGCCCCGCCGCCACACAGCTCCCGAAGTGCCGCCATGTGCTCACACCAAGGCCCACCTCCCTCTGGTGTCTGGCAGAGGCTGGGGGCCTCAACATCTGCCCGGAGCCACCACAGTGGCATGCCCACATGCCCTGCACATGTCCCCTCCTCTCCTCCACCAGCATGGGCCCACGGAGGATGAGAAAGGGACCACTTTGGGGTTCCGCACCAGATAACATGCACAGACCTCCCCCACCCCCTGACCACGGGCAGTACCAAGCCCAAAGAGGAAGCAGCAAAGTGTCAGAGGGACAGGCACGCACAGGGCCACGAGGCTCAGCTGTCACAGCACGTTTACACCAGTGCCTCACCTGGGGGCTAGTGGGAGGGCCAATTAGCCAGAACGCGCCAGGAGGGCCTCAACCTCACAGATACCAGGGGGAACACACAAAAGTGTGCAGGCGCCCAAAAGGAGATGTGCGGCTGCCAGACTCCGGACACCAAGTGCCACCAGCCCAGGACGGCATGGAAAAACCGGGGACAGGGAGGACATCACACACACATGGCAGCACACAGGCCTCAGCCTCCTCCCACCATCCCCAAGCTTCTGCCTGAAAGTCCTCGGCCGCCCTCCGGCCCCAGCCACCCACGACAAGAGTGACGAGAAGACAGCCTCGCGGAATGCTGCCCACCAGGCTCTACAAGCAGCAGAAACACGCCAAGGACCTAAAATAGCTCCCGCCACCGAGTCCAGAGTGCTGGGTTTAGAAATAGCAACTCACAGGCTCAGAAGCACCTCCCGGCCCCGTCTTCTGCAAGCACACAACCCAGATGTGACAGAGAAGCAGCCCCCGCACAAGGCGATGGCCCCCACACACTCCAGCCCGGTGCAAACCCGCTGCGGGTGGGCAGCTGTGAGGACAGTGCCCCCCTTGGGAGGAAGGTCCCAGAGCTGGTCGCAGCAGGTGGGGACCCTGCCTGGACAAAGGGTGGGGGCGAGCTTGGGATAGGAGCCACTGGCTGCTTCCTGAAAGGGGTGGGAGGGTGGGGTCAGCGCCACGAGGCCTGTGAGCTGTGCAGTCTATGGGCAGATGGGTCACAGACACAAAATCCCACATGGGGCCATGGGGACACGCGGACATGCGGACAGTAGTCTCTGAGCGGCAAGAACAGGCTTTTGCTTTATTTCTTTTCTACAGTGATCATTTCCTTTTACAATTACAAAGTGTTATTTTTCACAAAAACAATTTTAGGGAGTCTGGCCCCTAAGTTTCAAGCCTGCCAGAGGCAGGCTGTGAGGAGGGGCAGGGTGGGGCCACTCAGATGTCTGGGGTTGAGGACTTGGGCATCCAGCCACATGCCAGCTCAGTTTCAGTGGGCTGGAGCCCCACCAGCATAGAGAGGGGTCTCCACCCACAGTCAGGATCCTCCAACCCCCTCAAAGTTCCAGAGCAACCCCAGATCCGCCCTCTCTCAGGGCACAGCACGCTAGGACCTGACGCCCTCCGCTGCTCCGGGGGCTCCCACCCACTGGCGCACGGGGATGTCCCACTGAGGCAACATGCTGGCCCTCAGACTGCTGCCAGCTTCCCCTGTGCCCAGGATGGCACTGATGCCAAGGGAAGGGGGACCACATCCATGAGAGTACAGGGCAGGGCTCCTGCACCGTAGGACACATGTTCAAGCCACCTTCAAGACCAGCAAACTACTTTCATCCAACGAGCACTTAGCCCACCATGCTGCCACGGTCATATGGTCACCTGCTCGGGCCATACCCTGCACTCAGAGCTCTGCAAGGACAGACCCACTGGGCCTTGCAGATGAAGGAGCTGTGGCCACAGAAAGCGGATGTGACCCAGCAGTCTGGCTCCTGACCCAGGAAGCTGAAGCATGCCTCGGCCCTCAGGTCGACGGTGGCAGCACGGTGGACAGTGGGACCACGGGAGAGAAGTTCATGCAGAGATAGCCTTGGGCCAAAGCAGCCCGTGGGCCTTGGTGTGCTGACTACTGGCCCCAAGCCCTCACAACATGTGGCTCACGGGCTTCCAAATTCAAAAGCTCAGCC